ATACGAGTTAAGCCTCGAGTTTCGACTGTTGGCTAAATGCAAGAAAAAAAATAAAGAAATAAGAACGATAGATAGAAGGAGAGAGCAGCTAGAGTAAGCAAGAGAGCGAGTTGGACAGCAAAAGGAAGTGAGTTAGCTGGAAAGTTGGCAGCTTGAGGGATTTGTTAAAGACTTTCAAAGATTTCTCCCATTTGCAATAAATGTGTTGATTTGATCAGTGTTGGTTAACAGCTGAATAGTCGCTTAGTAGTGTTGAAAATATAAGCAATAGCTTACAATAGCTAAAGCTGGATCCAATATCAATATTTACAGAAACAAATATTATCAACTGTTGTTTCAATTCCGCATTTCTACGCCAACTATAAGCCCGATCTACACAACCTATAAACGTAGATTTGATTATATTCTCACTTCAATAAACACATAAAGATCGAAGAAAGAAGCGACAATAAAATCCATCTCTAATTTGATTTGATTGACACGAATAGCTCGAGGGGTCGCTTAACTGCGCTTCTTATAATTATATATATAGCGCCCATAATATAGCCGTCACTTGGACTAATTAAAACTGTAACTTCTCTTGTGTTAACACGTATATCTCTCGTCCATTGACTACTGTGTGACTTGTCTCTCACCTTTCTAACTTTGAAGAAAAGACCAAAAAAGAAAACGCAAAAAGCTGCCGTTGGCCATTTGCAAATTTCTTCTTTTCTCTGTGGGATATTTTGGTGTCTGTAAAAAAAAGTATTTTCTTTTGAGTGTCGTCTCTCATTTCATTTTAATTGAGTTAATTGCATATTATTACTTTCACTGCTTTGTTCCATTCGCTTTGTCACCGTTATTTGGTTGAGCATCTAATTTACAGTTTTGGGTCTCTCTGCTTTTTGGCCATTAGTTCTGTATTGTTGCACGTTTTTAAACTATTATTATTATTTATTTATGTTTCTTTCTTCTTGTTTCGAGTCTTCTTTTAACTTTTTAGTTTTTCTTTTTGATTGGGCTAACGGAGTGACCTTTGACGGTTTTTCTTTTGGCCTTTTCTCTGCATTTGCTTTGTTTCTTCTTACGCTCATCTAATGTTGCTCATGTGCGGCTGTTCTTCTTCATCTTCATCTTCTTATACTACTATCTTGCAACTGGCTGTGGCATTCACTTGCTCAGCTGCCTCGTAATTAGAGGCCATACGCGAGGAGGAAGTAAACGTGCCTAATGATAACCTTTAGCTTGTTGCCTGCTGCTCAGCCACAGGGCGCCCAAGCCCACAGAAATCGAGAGAAAGAGAGCGGTAGAGCCAGGCCGTACGTGGTGAGCTCCCCTCCCAACCTCTCCCAGAACATTGGCTTGCCATTGGGGGGCAAGCGTACAATTTTCTTGATTGCCGGTTACCCGGCTCTACATCATCCATCTAACTAAGTACGCGCCACTGACCAGCCGAGCAGCAGCTTACTTTGCCAACAGCAGATTGGGATGAGTATACTCCAACATTCATACTCGGAGTTCTATCCATGATCATAGCAGTACGAAGCCCGCACCCATCCCCATACTCACGCTCACAAGCCAAGCAACGCATATTGCACTCATATTTTACTTCTTATACCCTGTGCCAATTCAACTGAAGCCAGTATAGGTATATATAACGGCCAATTTATTTAGAGTTTCATTCACGTAAAACTTACATAAGCTGAAACGATAAGTATCGATTGTTATCACTCTGAATACTTTGTTTTATGCTACTGATCACTGATTTGGATAGGTTTACCCATTTAAGCTAAATCGATATATATCGATCTCCAATTAAACTCTGCTTACGTAGAAGTTGACACCTTTTTTATTGTTGACACCTTTTATATTTAGGTAAACAGAAAATTTCGAATTTCGAATTTCGAATTTCGATAGATCTGATATAATTCGATTAATTATACAAATCGATACATATCGACTGTCAGCTTACCTTTTTTGGATGCACAACAGATTTTCAGAACGTTCACAATTATGGCTAAGATTGGTATATAATCTTTTCTGTTATCGATTTTCGATAGCTTTGTCCTGTTATACAACTCGATTAATATCGATCAGTAATTTAACTATTTTCTTTAGATATTGCCATTATATTGAGCTTTCATCACGCTCTCTCAACGCCAGAGCATACTACAGGGTATCTCGCTGTCATGTAAGCTCGCCCTTAAAGCATTTACTTGCTTTTATCAGTGTTAGTTGCATTCGCATTGATTGAACGCACTGGGTTTTGGTCAACGCCCACCAGTGCGTCAATGTGGTGCAAGCAACACCACAGCCCAAACACTGGGAACATTTAGTTTTTTTTTGTTTTAGCATTGCTGTTGCATGGCGCCACATATGTGAGATGTTGCAATAGCAGCAGCTGCTGTTTCCTGCCAGCTAGAGGCGACATTTAGCAGCTGATTCCAGCTACCAGTGCCAAGTGGCAACAGCAATTGCAATTACAGCCAACATCAGCAGCAGCAGCAGCCGAAGCAGCAGCAATTGCAACAGAAATGTGGCAGCCACATTGTCGGTTGCAAGTCAAATTAGATGTGAGCTGCGCTTAAGCCAAGGACGCCCCAAAAATAAACTCAATTGGGCTATAAATAAACCAAATCGTGAACTGTGCAGCAGACAGCACTTGCCATTTGCCACTTGCCACTTGCCACTTGCCAGTTGGCAAGTTGCAACAGAAGGCAACGCGGTGGCAATGACGTCAAATGCACAACGCATGCGCTCTGCATTTTATCTGGGCAAGCAGATCGCTCGACTGTGGCCATGTAATTGGCTCCCTGCGCACTGCTACAATTCAAACGCATTTCATTCTCAGCTGCAGCTGCTGAAGATGTGCCAGCAACTGCAGATGGGATTCTCATGCAGATTGCCAATTGTACAACACGAACTAGCAGCAGGCAACAGAAAAAAAAATAAAACAAAAAAAAATAAAAAAGAGGCGACTCCCTACGATGTTGGTGGTGGCTGCTGTTGCAGTTCTTGCTGCTGCTACAATTGTTGTTGTTCTTGTTGCTGTTGCTGTTGCTGTTGCTGCTGATCTCATTGCTGCTGCTGTTTTAGTTGTTGTTGATGCTGTTGCTGTTACTGTTGTTGCTATTGGCATTGCCGCTCTTATTGCTGCTGTTGTTGTCGCTAGTTTTTTAGCTGTTGCTGCTGCTGCTGCTGCTGTTGCTGCTGTCGCTTTGGCTGAGAACACGCTACACATTCCGCGACCTCCGCTTGCCACCTATTTCATACATTTGTTGTTGCTGCTGTTGTCGTTGTCGTTGTCGTTGTCGTTGTCAATGTTGCTCATGTTTGCCATGTTGCTGCTTCTGCTGCAATTGGACACGGCGGCAACGATTGCTCGCATTCGTTGCGCGCGCTCTGAGTTAATATTGTTTGTAATAGCCACGTTCCCTACGCTGTAATCATTCGACAGACCCTCGCCTTGAATGCTGCTCTGTGTTTCGCCCGGCTTATAAATGCGCTCGTATAAATAATTGCGCTTGGCTGGCTGCCCACTTGCCTGGGACAATTCAAAGCAAACAAATTGAATTGAATATGTTAATATAATTGCATGCCTTGGCTAAGGCCCCCAGTGCCCAATGCCCAGTTGCAAGCAGCAGCAGCTGAGGCTGGAACCCCAACATTGGGGGCGTTTAAGAAACCATAAACTGAATGCCTAAATGTCGCTGTAAACGCAACGCCAGCTGGTTATCGGCATTGCTATCGGTAATCGTTATCGGCGTTGCCATCAACATCACCTTCTGCACAAATATGGCAACGCTGTCAATTGACTTCCGCCTTATCCATTTGCAATCACTCGAATGCAAATGAATCCATTTGCGAATACATTATGAGTGCAACTGCTTGATGAGCTGAAATAGTCTTGAATAGCAAGTGAATTAAAAAGAATTTTATGCTTCATAAATAATATGAGTACGAGTAACGAATTGATAGCGCTACTCAGCATAGCTTCCTAGATTGGCTCGACAGAATTTTATGTTTGCTTTGATCTAAGACCGATTGACTGGGCTTTGCTTCTTCTCCTTCCCTGCGAGCTATAGCTCCATAGACTACTTGATTACTATATCAAGTATGATATATTTAGTTAATATTAGAAAGAGCCTAGTCATAAGTTTCGAAATTTCTTTTCAACGTGGGCTGAAAATGGCAGCTCAACAACATAAACAGTTAAATAGGAAAGTAGTTAGGGCTTTGACTAAGTTGTCGCTGGACTAAGCCAACTCATGGCTATTAAGTGCTAGTCTGAGCGCGCATGATTGTATTGATTGTATAGAGATAATGCCCCTATGTATTTGCAATCAATTGACAGCTCTGCTTGATTGATTCAACGAGCGAGCGAGCGAGCGAATGAATGGTGATAATAATGTAAGTGCACACTTGAATCATTCATGCACTCGACTCGTGTATTCATTTGCGCCATTAATATGAATGAGTTGGCAACTGGCGGGCCAGGGCTTTCGCTTTTCAGAGCTGGGGCTTTGGGAGCCCGCTTCTCCAGGCAGGTCAATGTGCGCCCCCGCATGTGCCCAATTTGTGGGGGTCAGTCGCAAAAAGCAATTTGCAGCACGCTCGACTGGAAGCCGCAGGAATGTCAGGTCCCATTTCCCAACTTTCGAGCATTAGAATTCAGAAAACCGCAAATCGCAAGTCGATAAGAAAGACAGAGAGTGAGTGAGAGAAAGAGAGAGAGAGGCGAGCGCACAAGTGGAACGCTGCTCCATGCCATTTGTAATTTCCGTCCGAGCAGCTCATTAAACGCTTTGCAAATGCAGGCAACGAACTGAAGAGGAGAGTCTTGGCTGTTTGTTCTTATTGGTTCGCTGATTCGCGATTCAGTTAAGCGTGTAATAGAGCGGATGTATAGCCTAGCTCCAATGCTGTCAACGCTCGCTACCAGACGCCACCTGGCGGCTAAAACATACAACCACAGCTAAACGACGTTTCTTCTTTCTTTTGTTTCACTTGCAGATGCAAGCCGCAGCAAGCAACAGCAGCAGCAGCAGCAGCAGCCGGAGTCGACGCAGCAAAACACACACAACGATCTCTACCGGGATGCTGCTACTCTCGCTGGGATTGGCCATGCTGATGGCCCTGCCCGGCCAGGTCGCGGCACGTATGGCCTTCGAGAAGCTGACAGATTACGATTTTGCCGGCACCACGTACTACAGCGTCAAGAATCTATCGCTATACGAATGCCAAGGCTGGTGCCGTGAGGAGGCCGATTGCCAGGCGGCCGCATTTAGCTTCGTTGTGAATCCATTGTCGCCGTCGCAGGAGACGCACTGCCAGCTGCAGAACGACTCATCGGCAGCCAATCCCTCCGCAGCGCCTCAGCGCTCAGCCAATATGTACTACATGGTGAAGCTGCAGCTGCGCAGCGAGAACGTTTGCCATCGTCCTTGGTCGTTCGAGCGCGTGCCCAACAAGATCATACGCGGCCTGGACAATGCTCTCATCTATACCAGCACCAAGGAGGCCTGTCTGTCCGCCTGCCTGAATGAGAAACGCTTCATTTGCCGCTCCGTGGAATACGATTACAACAATATGAAGTGCGTGCTCAGCGATTCGGATCGTCGCAGCTCGGGTCAGTTTGTCCAGCTGGTGGATGCCCAGGGCACGGACTACTTTGAGAATCTGTGCCTGAAGCCCGCGCAGGCATGCAAGAATACACGCTCATTTGCCAATGCACGCATGGGCGTCTCCGAGGAGAAGGTAGCTCAATATGTCGGTCTGCACTACTACACGGACAAGGAGCTGCAGGTGACATCCGAGTCGGCCTGCCGTCTGGCGTGCGAAATTGAATCGGAATTTTTGTGCCGCTCCTTCCTCTATTTGGGTCAGCCACAAGGTGCCCAATACAACTGCCGTCTCTACCACTTGGATCACAAGACTCTGCCCGATGGTCCATCCACTTATCTGAATCACGAGCGTCCCCTGATCGATCATGGCGAGCCCATTGGCCAGTACTTTGAGAATCAGTGCGAGAAGTCGGCAGCAAGCGCTGGCGCTGGCTCTGGCAGCACACCACCCGGCACACTGGACAAGATCGATACGCTGCCCGTCAGCCTGGACACCATCGAGGACCCCAATCTGACCAACATGACGCGCAACGATGTCAACTGCGACAAGACCGGCACCTGCTATGATGGTGTGTGACTCTTTAACAGCATGCCAAAATGGACCTGGCTCTAATTGAATCTAATTCTCTCTTCCTCTTCAGTTTCCGTGCACTGCAAGGACACACGCATTGCTGTACAGGTACGCACCAACAAGCCATTCAATGGACGCATCTACGCTCTGGGCCGCTCAGAGACCTGCAACATCGATGTCATCAACTCAGATGCCTTCCGCCTAGATCTAACCATGATCGGTCAAGACTGTAACACACAGAGCGTGGTAAGTAGAGGAGTTTAACTAATAAATTGTCACAATAACTGCATATATGTGCTCCACAGACCGGCGTCTACTCGAACACGGTGGTGCTGCAGCATCACAGCGTCGTGATGACCAAGGCGGACAAGATCTACAAGGTGAAGTGCACATATGACATGAGCTCCAAGAACATTACCTTCGGCATGATGCCCATACGCGATCCCGACATGATTCACATCAACTCGTCACCCGAGGCGCCACCACCAAGGATTCGCATTCTGGACACTCGTCAGCGCGAGGTGGAAACTGTGCGCATTGGAGATCGTCTCAACTTCCGCATCGAAATACCAGAAGATAGTGAGTAGATCCCCCTGTAAGAATCTATAAGTCGTAGCTAATGCTGTGTCTCCGTCCCTCATTCTCAGCTCCCTATGGCATCTTCGCTCGCAGCTGTGTTGCCATGGCCAAGGATGCACGCACCAGCTTCAAGATCATCGACGACGATGGTTGCCCCACAGATCCCACCATCTTCCCCGGCTTCACCGCCGATGGCAATGCGCTGCAGTCGACCTATGAGGCATTCCGCTTCACCGAGAGCTACGGCGTCATCTTCCAGTGCAACGTCAAGTACTGCCTGGGTCCCTGTGAGCCGGCCGTCTGCGAATGGAACATGGAATCATTTGAGTCTCTAGGCAGAAGGCGTCGTCGTTCTATTGAGAGGTCAGTATTCAAGTAATATTGAAGTATGGCAGACAATAGTTATTCCCTATCTCTCTCTTCCTTTTTAGCAACAACACCAAGAGCGAAGATCATATGAACATTTCCCAGGAGATCTTGGTCTTGGACTTTGGCGATGAGAAACGTGAATTCTTCAAGGCGGATCCAAGCACGGACTTTGCCAAAGGTAAATAGCAACGGCATGACAACAATATGATACAAAAATTCTAGAAATCGAACATGCGTAACACCATTCTAACCTCAAATACTAATTCTATAATAATATAATATAAATAATTTTATTCATTTTTATTTCATTTTCTACATATGTTTCATTCATCACTTTTACACTCAAATGCAGTCTTTCTCTAACCCATCTCCTTTGCTCCCACTAATCTAACCTGAAATACGAATATTTACGCCATTCCTTTTCCGTCAACTAGAATCTAGCCTAATTTCAAACAGCGTCTAATCTTATCATCTAAAATAACTTATCTAATCGTACTATCTCTTTTGCACTTGCAGACAAGACTGTCACCATCATCGAGCCATGCCCCACGAAGACGTCTGTGCTAGCGCTGGCCGTTACCTGTGCGCTCATGATCCTGCTCTATATCTCCACATTGTTCTGCTACTACATGAAGAAATGGATGCAGCCACATAAAATCGTAGCATAAGTTAAGGCGCAACACAACACTGAAAGCAATATGTAGAAGAAGAGGAGAGGAAAAAAAAAGGAAAACAAAAACCATACAAGAACACAAATTGTCACCATTCCACACAGAGATATATACACACACCCACACACACATACTCGCCTACTCTCTCACACGCTATGTCTATTTCTCTCGCCTATGGCACGCTTGTCAGCGCTCAGCGCTCTCTCACGAGAGAGAAACCGGCAATGAGAGCAACAGTGCAGTTAATCAGGAAACGGAGCCTCAGCTTCGCTTTGCAATGGAAAACAATTGAAGAAGTTAAAAAGAACGAACTATGAAAGAGAAGTTGGAATTAAAGAAGATGGAGAAAGTTCCCATAACACAAACCCAAACTTACACACACACATAGAGCAGCTGCCTGACAAGCGTATATTTTTTGTTTTTTTTTTTTTTTTTGAGCATTAATAACTATATATACAATTTATTTATTTATATTTATTTAGATTTAGAGCGTGAGTTAATTTGCAGCAAACTGGCTTGGCGAACGCGCCAGCCCTAGCCTATTTTTTATATAAACTTATTTTCTAACGTTTAGTAGACAAAGCAGAAAGCGAATTGCACATTTACATTTAAATGCGAATATTAATTTAACAAATTTTTCAAATGAAAAAAAAAAGCGCGAAGGAAGAATGAAACGCATATGAAAATAACTGCGAGCGCGTACTTTCTATAAAGTTACGAAAGAGACGCCGAATCGTAAAGCCAAGTAGCAGCACGAGCGCGTGACAGAGACAGAGTGAGACAGAGAAAGATATATAAAGTGAGCTTTAAGCTCTAACGATCGTTCGCTTTTGTAACTTGTATAGAGACTGCGGCCGCAGATGCACATACTCACACACTCACTGACACACACATATACACACACACACACATTAATGCAAGTCCTGCTAATTTCCCATACACACAAACAAATACAACCGCACACACGCACATACTCACATTTATTTAATTTAACAAGAAATATATAAAAAAAAACAAACAAAAAATCAATAAAAAAAGAAGAAAGTTTAAGAAGCAATTAAAGGCAATAAAACGGCATATGAAAGCAATTAACAAAATGAAGAGAAACAAAAATGAGCGATCGGAAATCAAGCAAAAAACTAATTTCATAGTGTGTACAATGGAATTGTGCTTAATTGTATTGCATTTATTTAATTTAAATTTATTTATGATAATAAAGAATGATAATACAAACGGAAACGTGTCTTCCTCTCTGCCATAAGAGTATATACTCTGATACGTATTCGATTTACAACATCCAATAAGATTTATCGCATTCCATTCAATCCCCATTTCAATTCAAATAAGAAACCAGTCAAAATCTTCTTGAAATGAGTTTTAATATATTTTTTAAACCAATGGTTCGTATTAAGTAAACATTAGTGATATAAAAAAAAGAGAAATACTTGATGAAGTTAAGATATTTTTTAGCATTTGACTCTTGTAGAAGCGCCAGCAGTTGGATAAGTAAACGAATCAGCGATAATGATTCGCTCATAGTGACAAATCATCCTTATACAAGTTTTAGTTGTCGTTGTTGCGGGTGCGTATGTTTATAAGTTTGTTTTTTGTGGGTGTAGTTTAAATTAGCCTGGTTAATATTAGATGAAACTCAGAGATGTGACACAAGCTAATCAGGAACTAGCCCTTGAGGCTGGTCATGCCCGCACGCATCACCTCGTCGACGAGCAATAAATTGCTGGCAATAATGGAGCAGGAGTTGAGGATCTGCTTTTTGACAATGTAATTATCATAAACGCCAAGATCAGTGGGTTTCATGGGTTCGCCAGTCGACAGATCAAGACCGACTAGTTCCGGGCTCAGCCTGTCCTCGACCGTCAGCTTCACAATGGTGTCCTGTGCATCGTAACCGCTGTTGACAGCCAGCGTCTTAGGTATGACCAGCAGGGCATCAGCAAAGGCCTGCACGGCCAGACGGGCTTTGCCCTTTACAGTTTCCTTATACTGAACTAGCTCGTTGTAGGCTCGTACTTCGAAAGCGCCTGCGCCTGGTACCAATGCCTTATCGCCAATGGTATTGTTGATGGCACGCAGACCGTCCCGAATGGCATCCTTGATTTGAGTGATTGTGTGCTTATTGGGTCCCTTGATCAAAATTGTAACAGACAACGGATTCTTGCAGTCCTCCACAAACGTGTACTTGTTCTCACCGAGAACATGCTCGTACACAGAGCCGGCATATCCCAGATTTTCTTCTTGCAGATCGTCGAAAGAATTCATGGCAGTGCCACCGCAAGCAAGAGCCAGACGCTCCATGTTGCGACGCTTAGCACGACGCAGAGCTAGAATGCCTTCCTTAGCCAGAGCGTCCAGCGAGATGGGATCAATGCCCTTTTGATTGATGAGGACAAAAGTCTTGTCGGTGCCATCGCACACGGCACGTTTAAGCTCGATTACCTTCTTCACGCGTTGATCAATAAATTCACGCTCGGCACGTACAAATGCCTCACGCTCTGTAGCCGTCTTGTAGAAGAAACCAGAGTTCACTTCAGCCTTCTCATATTCCAATGAAACGTTGGCAGTTAGAATGTAGGCGTTCTCCAGTCGCTTGGGCATATCGGGATGACGTGCGCCATGGTCCATGACCAAGCCACGCACCAGCTGTGTGTCCGTATCGGTCTTATGTTGCATCTCCATCAGTTCGACCATATGCAGATCTATGGGTTGCTTCTTATCGTTAGAAATTGTCAGCACAGCATCAACGCAAACCTCCGTCAGAAGATCTGCAAGTTGCGGATGCACCTTGGTCTTCAAACTGGTATTGGCAATTTCCATCAGGTTCTTTTTGTTGATATCGACTGGCACCTTGACTTTGTCCAGCACTTCCAGTGCCTTGTCGCGTGCCTTCTCAAAGCCCTCCGCCATGATGCGTGGATGCAAGCCCTCCGACAAATAAATGTCCGCCTGCTTTAGCAACTCTCCAATTAGCATAACCGTGGTGGTGGTGCCATCGCCTGTGGAATCATCCTGCGCTGTACTGGCACGTGCAATCATCGATGCGGTTGGGTGCTGGATTTGCATATCATGCAGCAGAACGTTACCATCTTTAGTGATCTTGATGTCACCAGCGCCGGAGACCAACCTGAAAGAAATTTTCAATAAAAAACAGTAAATAAATCTATCTATACTTTGTTAAAGTTCACCTGGTCATACTGATCAATCTATGGTTTGGACATGCCTCCTTATATGCATTGCCATTTACCGGCAAATTTAAAATATCAGGACTCTGATAAGAATAAATATAATCGATTTATCGACGTTTATCTATCGCCCTTGCGCGAATGTTCGAGAATCCAAACAAAATATGACTCCATATGTTTGCGGGAGTTCGTATGTGTATTCGTGCATGTGTGAGTGTGAGCGCGTGAGGTATGACAATGACAATGACTGTGTGAGCTTCAATAAGCAATAGCGCAGAAAGCAAATTCACATTGAACATTTAACAAACCAAGTGTTTAAGCATGGGTTTAATTTAACAAATTCACTCAAGCAATAGCAAGTAGGTTTTAATTCTTGAATTTGTAGGCTAAACTGAATATTGCTATCTCAGTCGCTCGATGACGCATGCCGCTATTCGGAAGCAACAAGAACGATTTTAACCTCAATTGCGAAGCGGCAGCACAGATGCCAGAAAAAGTTTGTTAATTATTATGCTGCGATTGTGCAAAGCTATGAGCCTTAAGCATGTTTATTAGTTACGATTTAAATGCAAACTTAAGTGAATGTACTCACATTTTAACTGTGCCTTTTGGTCCTAAATTGGTCCGCATCACATCCTGCAGACCTTTAGCAGCGCTAATGTTAATGGCCAGAGCTTGCGCGGCACGCGCAAATTCAGCCTTTGGGTTCAACAAGCTGATGGAAGCCATTTCTGTATTTCAATTACCAACAAATATTAAATTGAAAGAATTAAATGCAAATGCAACAAACACGCCGGACCAGTTGTTAAAGAAGAATCACCAGGCAGTAGATTGTGGTATCGGTGCCGATAGCTGCTACGCAAAATCGAGTATTGTCACACTATCGATATGATATCAATAGGATAGTATGCTGCTTACACATAATGCGATCGAATTTTTATTTTTGTGACCATATTATATTGAATATAATAATAATAAATAAAAATAATCCTCTTAATCGATTTTTCTTTCAAGCTGTCAGATTTATTTATAGTGTTATATATATACATCATATTTTAAGATGTTAGCTATCGATATCAATGGCAGTGCAGTCCGGTCATTGCTGTCCTTCAGCATCCAAAATTAGCAAGTGGACAGCACTAAATAAAAACATGTTTGCTTTTCTAGTTGTCCGAAAATTCTGTAATAACATTATATATTAAAACTTTAAAATGTGTTCTGTGTGGAGAATAAAAATGTTTTGCGCGTTATTTGCTTTTGTTAAGTAATTTAAATGGCGAGTTTATGGATCTGATGTATTTGACCTGCTACATTCTGTCATATCATAAACAAATCTAAAACCACAAACATATATATATATATATATACATAGGTTTAAATGTTTGTTAAACCATTTGGCTGGCATAATAATAAGGCTCCGATACCGATAACGATATACAAACCAATACATAGCACGCATCTCTAAACGAAACTAATTCGGCGACAATTTTTTTTTTTGTTGAAAGGAATTAACATAAAAATCAAATCAGTGCAGTGCTCTCACATATCCAGCGTGCAACGGGACGCCAAAAAGCTAGAAAATAAACAGATCAAGGTGGAATAAACGAACTCGTGTGGGGCACGATGAGTGTGTTGGCATATCCACGTAAAAATGATGAGGAAATTTTTCGTCAATGCACAAAGGATTGTGGCGTTGTGACGGCCACCGAGGACTTCCAGTCGTTCGCATTGTGTTGCATTTTCTGTAGCGAAAAGTTTCTCTATTTCGATGCATTCATTGGCCACATGCAAACAGTGCACATGGAGGATGCGCAGCGCACGATGGAAAGCGCTGGCTCCGCCACTGGCACCAGCATGTCCTATCCGATAGGCCAGCCCATGTCGCTGGGCGTAGCCGATGTCGATGATGAGGAAGTGCCGCATGACTATGCCAACAATGGCATGCACCAATTTGATGAGATCGAAGACTTGACTGATGCAGACACTGCCCTGTTGGAGCCCCAAATGGTTATCAAACAGGAGCTGCAAGAGCTCGACAGCAGTAACGACGACGACGCCGATGACATTGACGAGGAGGAAGAGGATGACGCTAACAACCTAGCAGTGCCCGATGACAATGACAATGACGATGTCGACGATGAGAGTGAAGCTATACTGCCCGAAAACGATGTGCCCACAGCCAGCGCTAGACCTCGCATAAAGCTGAGGGGACCGCCACCATATGCGGCCCGGCATAGGGTCTCCAGGATAAGTGTTAAGAGGGAGCCCCTGCCAGTCGAGGGTGATGAGTCCATGGATGAGTATGGCGAAGGCGATGGCGAGCAAAGCTATGTGGACGACAATTCCGGCGAGTATCAAGACTATAGCAGCAGCAGTTACAACGCGCAGGGCACCAATCCGCTTGCTGGCGAATCTGATTTCCTTAGCTATGATGAAATGGTTGAGGAATCTTTAATTGGCGTAAGTTCACCGTAGCTCAGGCTCTGTACGGTTCTCCTATCTTATGTTCTACATGTGATCAATTGCAGCGCGATCGTGAGTTGACCATGCACATCAAGGACCGCAAGATGATCCAATTCCTGATACACTCTTACAAGCGCAATCCATTCCTTTGGGATCACAGTCACGCTCAGTTTCGGGATCGTGTGAAGCGTGCACGTTTCCTGGACTGGATTGTGCTAGAGTTTAAGAACCGTTTCAATATCTCCTTGGCCAAGGATGCCATCACGCGCAAATGGGACAACTTGCGAACCGTGTACAAGCGCGAATGCAATCGCATGGCTCTCGAAAAGACAAACATCAGCACACTGTGGTACTTCAAGGAACTCCACTTCCTCAACGAGGTCTATAGCTACAACTCGAAAATGTCCGATGCCGTTGTCAAGGTGAGTCCACACATTATATTTATATAAATATGTATGCAACTTAATGCTCCACGGCTTCGATACTGAGAACTGATATCGAATATAGGCTTATGATAAAAGCATAAACAAAGCCAACTTTAATCAAACAATTTTACACCCAACTATACTAAATCTCAGTTATAGTGCACATAAGGCAAATATTTCGGGCTTCCTAACTCGCCAATCATTGGATGTCACGTATCGATTACACATATGTAAACACTATAAAGAATATATGCAAAATATACCTGATCAAAGTTCAAAATCTAGTCTTTCACACTTCTTCGGACCAGTAAGACCTATACAAGATTGTTATTTATTATTCAGTGCAGTCTTAGCCACAGACTTTTTTGTATGGATACAAATCATTTTTATAAAGAAATATGATTCATTTTATATTTATTTTTGCCGAATCAAGATAAACAAATATTGTTGAACTGCTGTTATCAACCAATTTGAGACTTGTTTCTAATAGTTTCATATAATAGATAAATGTACTATATAATATAATAGATAAATCAGTAATCAATCAAGATAGTTTGTATAAATTTACAAATATTTTTTTAAACTTTCTCAAAAGAAAAGTACATAAAATATGAATATTTTCCCATTTATCCGTTTACCTATGGATAAACTTATAACTGATCTTATATTTTGCAGTTCTGGCTGAAATTTAAATACTTTTGTAACTATATATTTTCGAGAGTTGTGATTTTTAGGATAATTATATAACTAATTGTATCTCCGTTCACAGGAAACATCATATCGACGTCGCTTCTCGGCCATTTGGAATGATACGTCGACGGCGAAGCTGTTGGTGATGGTGAAGCGTTATCAGTGCTTTTACAATCGCTTCGATCCGGACTATCGGAGCAAGGAGCGCCGGGGCGAGGGGCTGCAACAGATGGCCATGGAACTGCAGCAGTTAATTGATGTGACCACCATACAGATATCAAAGCGAATCTCGCAGTTGCGCTTCGACTATTCCAAGCAGAAGAATGAACGTTTGAATGCGGAGCGAATGGGGCGTAAATTTATACCTAACTATATATACTATGATCAGATGAGCTTCATGGACGATGATATACCGCCATTCAAGTGCCAGCATTGCGGCGAAATAGTCCAAACGTTACGCGAACTGGATCTCCACATGCTCAGCCACCAGCCAAGCCTGGGCGGCAGCTACTATTGCAACGTGTGCAACATACAGTTCAACAATGCGGATGAATTCGAGAATCACAAGCAATTGCATTTGGGCGCTGGGCATGAGGTCAAATATAACTGTGAACTGTGCACGGCCAGCTTTCGAGAGAAGTCCAACTTCGACGAGCATTTGCGTCGCCACAATGATGAGCTCTTCCTGCCAACTTTGGCTCTGAATCACAGCATACTGGACAGCGCTAGCGGGGATGTGGACGGTGCCACCGGCGATGGAACAACTATTGTTGGTGCCGGCGAAGAGGAGGATATGTTTCCGCCGGACGGACCCAAGCCGTTCGGCTGTGAGGTATGCCATCGCACCTTCGCCTCGCCGGGCCATCTGAATGCGCATCGCATTGTGCATCAGGATGAGCGCGAGCGCTGCTACAAGTGCGACTATCCGCAGTGTAGCAAATCTTTTGTGTCCCGCCACAGTCTGTTTGATCATCTGAAACAGCACTATAGCAACGAGGAGTTCAAGTGCGATATCTGCGGCAAGATCTTTAAGTCCACCAAGAATCTGCAGAACCATAAGCAGATCCACGATAAAGTAAAGCGCTACGTCTGCCAGATATGCGGCTCGGCATTCGCCCAGGCTGCTGGCCTCTACCTGCACAAGCGACGTCACAATCGTCCCAATGGCACCACCGGCGCCGTTGGCGGTCGTTCCAGCCGCACCACGCTGTGAGCGATCCGTTCCAAACCCAAGCGGTTATCCTGATATGAGTTTTGCCTCAAATCAAACAAACACCCACACACACACACACATACCTACATACACATTATGTTTAAATTATTGCAATGTCCTCCAATGCCAATGTCCGGCAGCTATTTTAAAAGCCTTTTTTCTGATTATTGTATTTACAAATTTTAAATTTATTTTATTATTGTAGAAAAGCGATTACTATTAATAATTTTATTATTTCAGTTAATTTTTAGAATCTTTTTTTTTTGTTTTTTTTTTTTTTAAGAAATTTTTGTGCGCTTTCTCTTAACGATGCGCTGTTCACAATTGTACTTAAAACTAAACAAGTATTTACAAATTGTCCGCAACTAAGCCAAGAACTTTAATATATCTAAGACATAAGACATAAACTATATATACATAGACATATATATATATATATATATATATTTAGATATCTGCCGTCTTGCTCGCACGGCAGCTGAAATGCTCATTTTGGTGGAAATATTAAGAAATTCAATGCAATTCTACATTTTTAGTTTTTTACATATATATATAAATATGTATAAATAAATAAATAAATATATATATATATTTATTTATTTATTTAAATTAATTTAAAGACGTTTCCACCAAAATGCGAATAAAGGTGACTTAAGATCTTCGACGAGGCAACGAGGCAAACACATTCCACACTAGTTAAATGATTAATAAGTGTCAAAAAAAAAAACAACAAAAAACACAAAAAACAAGTATTTCTTAAAGTATTCTATGTACAACTAAGTATATAATCTATATTTATTTAAAACGCGCGTGCGAGAACATAAAAGAGAGAAATATATATATAAATAAACTGCAGTTGCGCAAGTGCAGGGCCATTTAAATAAAGCAACAATTTAACAAAAAAAAATTAAAAAAAAAAAGGAAGAAGCAACAACAGCAACAATAACAATAACAGTTACTAAGCTCAGCACTATTGCATTAACATAATTGTAATGATAATAATAACAATACATACATCAAACTAGTTTTAGTTAACAAACATAAACGACTGAATCTGAAAAATACATTTACATACACATAATTATATACATACGCTTACATATATAAATGTAAAAGCAAAAGTAAGAAATGATGATGATGAGCCCCAACTACGGCCAGCCGTAGCTTCTAAAATCATATATTTGCACATTATATACACAGACATATATAAATATAGATTTAATTTTTAAAGCAGCTATATACATTATAAACATGAAATTGTTTACCAGCCAAAATGTTTCTGTACCTATCTATAAAACCACATCATTTGTCATTTGTCATTTATCATTTTATTTATGGCGTGCAACCCTAGGCTGCTTCATCTCTGTTCAGGGATTTCCTTTTCTGATCTATGAGAGGAAACAAAGCATCACGCACGCACACATGCAGCGCATCTATCTATTTACATACATTCAGCCTAGTTCATTATCGTTATTGTATATAGTTTGAGATGTGCATTTATGAACTGCTTGCCGCAGATGCCTCGATGTTGCTGTTATCGATATACGACTGCAGTCGATTGCATCCGCCAATGACAACGATCAATTCAAAAACTGCAATAACAACACACATATATATCCTTACACATAACAAATGCATACACACACATTCAAAGATACATATTAACATTAAAAATATATAAATAGATATATATTATGTACTTTTATAAGACAACAACAAGAAATTCATCATATGTAAGTTCATTTAGCACAATTGACAGCAACAAGCAAAAATATGTAAATGTAGCAACAGCAGCAGCCGCTACTAGTTTAAGTATTTTAATATTAATTGGCTTACTCATATGTTTTAAGATTTAACAAACGCAGGTGATAAGCAGCACTTGCGTATATCAATTAAAAACAAAAACAAACATGTTTGTGTTTTCTATAACAAAACTTGTGAAATAGTTAACAGCAGCTGTAAGAGAGAGATTTGTACACGAATTAATCCAGAATTCGTTTCAGAGGCCGTAACAAAGTGCGCTTCCTTAAGCTATTAAAAACTATAAACAATACAAATACAAAACAAATACAAATACAAATACAAATACATATATACCTAACTACTAGCATATTTATGTATATTAATTGATAAGCAAAGACAAACAACAATTGCAATACAAACGAAAACAACAAACATAACATTAGGGCGCACACAGAGATTATTGACGCCAAGTTCTACCACATGGAAATTTCAATAAAAAACTATAAATACATATAATTTGATTTACTATTATCATTTCATAAAAACGAAATGTGTCTTGGCTAATTCGAAAACATGTTAACCCCATTTACCAAAGGTTTTAAGCCTTCTGAAAGTAGAGTATCCCCATTACGTCATCATCAAAAACATGATTTTTAAGCACAATTGCCTTTTGGAAATAATTTTTTAGTATCTGAAACAGTCGGCGTCGCTGCAATTGAGAAACAAGTTTTAGAATGAAATTGTCTTTGATATTCTTGGCAATTAAAATGCATTAAGTTGTGTTATGATCCTATCCTATCAGCTCTCAGGGATTCAAAAAAATCTTACAGCTCTTCGTACTCTCTCTGTATGTCTTTCATTCTCTATGTATGTCTCTCTCTCTCCTTGAATGTCTCCTTTACTCTTCTTATCTGTCTCTCTCTCTCTCACTGTCTCTCTCTCTCACACACACCGTCGCACTCACCCTTTTTTCTCTGTCCTTTACTTTCACTCTATCCATCTTCTTCAATCTAATTTTATTTTACGTACACTCACTTTATACAGCCCTTCTACGCACTTCTCATGAAGTAAGATTTATGGCTTTCCCAAGTTTTTATCTCTCAGTCTTTCGTTTTCTTTCTCAGACGCTCCCAATCAATAGATCCCTAAATTATGCCGAAAGCGATCTCTTTATCAGTAACTATTGATTATTGTGGGATGTGTTGGAGTATAATTAACGGCAAAGCAGACCCATTAGCTTTGAAGCACGCCTTTCTATCTGCAAAATCGGGGAATGCGATAAGCATATCAGGCGTGTAGGACAGTGATTCAATTATGTCAGACGTCGATGCTTGCACAAGATAGACTGATAAAAAAAAGTTTAAATACCGCTACTACAGTAGTCGCTCTTGAAAAATAACCGCAAAAAGTGAGAAATGTTTATAACCTCTACTTCTCCTTAGCCTTACTATCTTGCTTTCGACTTCATTCAAGATCTAAATTCGCATTAATAATTAGCGTCTGCTAATAAAGTCAAACAATTAACAAATTCGTACATTAGCGGACTTTGGATTTGTTTTTGCAATGTTACAATTAGCAGCAGCTGCCAGGTAGAATTTAAACGAAACCTCGTCAGGCCTCTTTGGCGCAGACGCACGATGACTCGTTCTTTTTGCATATGGGATTAGATTAGAGATGAGCGCGTGACTGGCACGAACTTAACACCGAGAATAACGAATTAACACATACGATTTGGGAGATCACGAAAGATAAAACGGTTAGATAATTTCTATTTCTTTCCAATTTCGAACTTTCGACCTTTCTAGTTGTGTCATGTTGCGTTTCTGCTATATTAGAAAAATAACTTTTGCTCACCTCTATTCAGATATGAAGTCAACTACGTAAAATCGCATATACTATATGCTAGCGCCTAGAGACTACTATAAACAGCAATGCGACGGGCGCGTGCTCATTTTGTATCTATGTCTGCCTATGTGTGACTGTGTGTGAAAGTATATTTATATACCAATGAAATTTGAAATTCTGGTAAACACATTAATCAGTCCGTGGGTAGTTTGAGTCGATCGATTGTTGATCGTCTGAGCCACACGAATAGCTACGATTGCAGTAAATGAAAGACATTTTTTGATATTTCTTCAAATTGAGTTACTCATGGCTGGTTTGACCCGCGATAACAAATTATATTTAGCCGTCGGCTCTCATAATGTATATAACAAAACAAAACAAGTCAAAAATTGAGGCTTAAGTTGGTTCATCGGTTCTTTTTCTTCTTCTTCTGCTTCCAAGCGTTGACGACACGACGACACTGCATCGCTGTCCTGACTAGACATAGAACTAGATCAGTTCACCATGCTCATTCACTTTGATGATGCGCACTCGCTCCTGCCGATTCGATAGGACCTCATCGATATTCATGCTGCCGCTGCTGCTGCCATCTCTATTGGAGAACAGACCCAGATTGTCCTTTATCAAATGATCGACGGCACAACCATCGCACTGTAGTATGACTACGCCACTATTGTAGGCCTCCTCGCTGATGGTCTTAGTATTGCGTGTATTGCACAACTTGCAAAGGTACACGATCTCCATGCGTCGCTGCATGCGCCGGAAGCGTTTCAACGTGGTCGGCGATAATGAACCCTTTGGCTTGGCTCCAGCTACACTACCTGTAATCTCGAACGGTTTGGCCGTAAAACGACAGGCGTCGAGTATGGAGCGCGGTATGGATAGCGTCGATCGTTGGACGTCATTCAGCGCTTTGTCCGCATCGGCATCGGACAGTGGCACTGGTCCTTGTTGTTGTGTGGCATTGAGGATCGCGTTTTGTCCATTCTGGCGTAGATAGTTGAGGGTACGCGAGGTAAAAATATTGCGCAATGCGTTCATTTTACATCGGCATATTCACGGTTATGATGGATACGGATATGGATATAGGTTATTCGATGCCAAACACACTGCCGATCTGCGCGTGTGAGTTATTAAGATGATACTAATTTATTATTATCATAAACAAACGACGCAGTTTGCTCCACGGAGAGCGACCACTGTGGCTAAACCATCGCACACCGATACGCAGAATAAGTAGTGGTACAATCGATAGTATCGTTAAATCAGTGACCAACAAGTTGGTGGAAGATGTAAAGGTACGAGTTTGAAAACGAACGAGCAAAAATTAACTGAAACATATATTGGTTTAAAATAAATTATGTAAGATGTATTTATTTTGATTCCTTTTGATATTACTTTAATTATTTAATTTTTGAAAGTATTCAAATAAAAAGGGAGCGTTGCCAGTATGTTAGAACACAAACAAATTTTAAGGGATGGAAATAATAACATATGCACTAGAAAAGCATTCAGTATTTTGTATATTCGAGTTTTTAACTCCGTACAACTTTTGGTCACACTTATACAGTTTATTGCTCGATTTCTTGCTTATAGAAAAATAAACAAAAAGAAGGCGATAAATTGATTTAGCATGGGCGTAACCGTGTTGCAACCATATCCACTGCCTGAGGGCAAATCGGGGGCCCACATCATGGACCATCTGGGCAAGCGCTTACTCTCCCTGGGCGCATCACATGCCGGCCAATTTCTGGTTGATTGCGAAACGTTTATCTCAACACCACAGCACGGAACACCGGCTCGAGCAGTCCATGTGCTGCACAACTCTGAGTATCCGGCTTCCACATTCTCCATAATTGACAATGGCACTGGCAAGCAAGTGGCCATTGTGGCCGATAACATTTTCGATTTGCTAATGCTGAAAATGACTTCCATATTCACGTCGAAGAAACAGACGAAAATTGAATCGCGCGGAGCCCGCTTTGAGTACGGCGATTTTGTCATCAAGCTGGGCTCTGTTACCATGATGGAGCACTTCAAAGGCATACTAATTGAGATTGAGTACAGGCCGTGCGTGACGCTTTCATATTGCTGGGAAATGATACGCGAAATGCTTCAAGGCTTCCTTGGTATCAGCGTGGCCAAAGAGTATCCCACCTACTTCACCACACAGACCATCATGAACGCCATGGGCCAGCAGCAGCTGCATGCCAAGCAGAACGACATCTACGAGCCAATGGACACGGTCAAACAGTATCTCGAGCACTTTACCAATTATCGCAAGCATGTCCAGTTGCACGGCTCGCTGGCCAGCTCAGCTGCTTCCATTAGCTCAGTGATGCTGCCCTCAACGGTTGGTATGGGGCGACCCTGATGCGAGGTGAAGCTGGAACCGCCAGATACCGCCTAGCCAGCTGCAGATTTATCATACTATTTTGTTTTCTGACTTAAGCAAAAACTCAAAACTGAAAATTTAATATATTTATGTTCTCTTTTTATTATTATTTTGTATGTATTTGTAACACAATAGTTGTATATAATATATATAATAATATAATATTTATATATATATATAGATATATATATATATATATATATGTGTGTATATGTATAGTAATATCCTATAATATGCGTATGTGCAAGTTGCTCTCTCACACGACAATTTCTGCAAAGTACAGTTGCGTTCGAAGCGCTTAAAAAGTAAAAAAAAAAAATCGGAATTTTGAATTTTCAGGCAGGGCATAATGTCCTTACATTTATACAAAAGAAAACAAAGAACAATTTAGTTTAAGCCTTTCCAAATACTCTCGAACTGTTATACAAATAAAAGCAAGAAAATAATAGAAGCCTTTTGTTTTTTTAAAAATGTGCATAAAATATATATATGTATTTATTCAAGGTGTATGCGAGCATTACATATAGAAAAAAAATTGTGTAGTTCGTATATATTTATAATGATAATAACTTGATAATTTGTAGGGGCGAGGAGTCTTCTCACAACAAGACATAATATTTTTGTTTTTGTTTTTTATACTTAAAAGTAAGAAACTGCTCTTGCAATTTTTATTATTGCTCCAATGGTAAAAATGGTTTGGGTGTGTGTGTGTTAATGTTGTGTAAAATACAATCAAAATATAAACGAACCGCAAATTTTGTAATACAATCAAAGTTAAAAGATTTTAAACGAATGTGGAATTTAAATCGGTGTGCCTGATTTTATTATAGTTTTAGTTTTTTGTTATGTGGTATAGGGGTGCCGAACATAAATATGTATATATGTGAATTATGCATTTGTTTGTTTGTTTGTTTGTTTTTTTTGCATTTCATTCTTTCTTTCCTTCGCATGAAAACTTAAACATAACACAATAATCGTAATATAATCTGTAACTATTCCTTTTTGCTTGCATGGATTTCTCTTAAACTTAGTTGTATATCATAGTAATTTTTAGTTGTGAGTTAAATGTCTAGTAATAGTAACGGTGTTTCTGTGTCTGTGTTTAAGTTTGTGATTGTTTGTTTGTGTGAGTGTTATTGTGATTGTGAGTGTATAACAGTTTCGTATAAGTAAATATGTTTGCAGTTCCATTTACTACTGCAGCCTGCAGCCTGCAGCTGTGCAGCTGCGGCAACGACAAAAATTGCTCTCATCAGCTTTTTTTCGCGCGCGCTCTTGCTAACTCTCTCCTGCCCTCGCGCTCTTTGAAAGTATTTGTGTCTGTCTATAGGAGTGTGTGTAAGTTTGTTTGTATGTGTATCTGTGTGTGTGTATGGGTTTGTATTTTTGTTTATTGCTGTTTCCGTTGTTGTCGTTGTTTCCATTTTCTTTTTGTTGCTGTTATTTTACAAATATTTTAAAATAATTTTATGTTTATATATTTGTGTATGTAAATGTATATATTACTCATATAGTTTAAACGGAGATCAATTTCCGATTGATTGTTATTTGTAGTTACTTTTTTCTACTTGTATTTTATGTCCTCATTTTATTATTCCATGTGCAACAACAACAAAAGAAACAACTTTTGCTTTGTATACTTTCTCTCTCCCTCTCTACCTTTTTCTTCCTGTCTCTTCTCTTAAGTTTTGTGTGTTTAGCTGTTGTTGTTGCTCGCGTTTAACGGTGTTTCGTTTTGTGATATTGTTGTTCTGTTGTTTGTTTTTGTTGTATTTATTTCATTTTAGTTTTTATTTTTTGCTGCTGCTGCTAATGCTGCCACTGCTCCAAATTGAAGCCACTCGATCCTTGCTTTTTAGTCGTGCATGGGCAAAGTTGCCGGCTTAACGTGTCCGCCGTCGCCTTCAGAGACGAAACGTTTGCGTCCACTGTAAACAGAAAAATGAAATTGATAAATACATCGAAATAACTAGAAATATACTTATACTAATACTAAAAGGTAGCAATTTCAGACCTGAAGCAAACTAAAAATATAGTACATAAAGTCCAGATTAACATACATACATGAATACATACGTACATAGATATCTATGTATATTCTATGTGGACTCTTTCTTTTTCCTCATTTAACCATTTTCAGTAAATTATAACCAAATGATATAGTTTATATTTCTAATTGGTTAGAAAATAGTGTTATACTGCACTTTAATTCTGTAATTTTTGATTTTTAAGCACACTTGTGCATAACATATTCAGTGCAATGCCATGAAAGCAACACACATTACGCATTATGCAATGCCACAATTACAAAAAAATACCAGAACTGCGCTACGAAAATACATTTAGCGAATTTCGCTAGTGAGATCAAACTACAAAAACAACAAAAAATGTCCTAAAAAGCCCCAAAGCGAATTCTTGACGCTTTACTCGAACGAATTTGCAGCAGAGTTTATTCAACCGTTGACCCTTTTTACTCCTCTCTGAACGGAAAACTGCAGCGACAAAACAGCTGTGTTACGACTAACTTGAGTAAGTGTGTGTGGGCGAGATGGAGCGGTGAGGTGAGAAGAGTGTAATACGACTAGAAACTAGTTTCGCTGGTTTATCTGAAGCGCCGAACAGGCCAGTATCAAATTTTAACCTACATCAACTTCAAAGCTCTATTCCAACTCATACTGATGTACACATGAATGTGCGCATATAAACGCAATTTGGAGACTGGGCGATCAACTGTGGAGAGTATAGGCAGCGAATGATTGTTAGCTCAAGCGAACGATAGTGGGACACATAGAAGAGATAACAAATGAAAAATTAAGAGTTTTGTGCCTGACTGTCTAATACTCTGCATATACTTGTATAAATACACAATCTTTTTATAAATACACAATCTTTTTAAAAACAATCGAAAGCGTATTGAGCACGGCATACACCTTATTGCTTTTCATTTATAGGGTATTGAGGGACACGTTGTCGCAGCGGCGTTTGAGTGTGTACATGTTGGTGTGTGTGTCTGCAAAGTAAATGCTTCTGTCGTAGTAGTTGGTGATTTTTTTGTTCATTGTGGCTATGTTAAGTGCCAAAGAGCAACAGCCGCAGCCAAGGCGAATGCAAAATGCAGTTACAACTGCAACGACGTGAGCTAAGCTCACAGCAACAACAACTGTCAGCCAGCCTGTTATTGTTGTTGTTGCTGCTGCTTTTGTTTTGTGGGTGTGGCGGAGCAGGTCGATAACAGCAGCAACTGCAACTGCAATGGCAACGACTACATCTATAGCCAAGGCAGTAGCAGTTGTAGTCGCCATTTTTACCTTCTCCATGGCACTCACGATCTTGAGCCACATGCAGGTTGTTGCACCACCAACAAACACACCAACACAGCCACCACCAGAGCCACCACCCTAGAAATAACAATCACAGCAACTATAACAACTACTTGTAATATCAATGCCAACTTTGTTGTGCTCTAATATATGTAGGTGCGCCCAGCGCTACGCAATCGATATGTATTATCAATATAAACACAATCACTCACAGACACGTACCCATCTAACCACATGCACACAAATGTTTGGTTGAAAAATTATAAATAAATTGAAAACGAGTCACCCAAGTAAAATAAATAGTGCAGGTGGCGTGGTAAACTAACAACGGAATCAACAATCTTAGAAGTCAATAATAAATAAAAGCTACTTATATTTCTTCTTAGCAACCCGACTATTATTTACCCTATTGCTGTGATCATATTTGTATATATGTATGTATGATCGTATATGCATATTGCGAAGTATTTAGATTAGAAAATATTTAAATTCGAATAAATATATATATATAATATATATATATATAAGTTACAAAATGTGCAGAAATTATGAATAGATATAAATGTATGTAAAGTAATAGCAAAAGGTCAATTAAAAAGCATTTTCTTAACATACAGTCCATTAAAATCTAAAAAAAAATAAACACATTTTATAAAGATATAAAACTGATATTTGTATGTAGAAATAATAAATATATATGTATGTTTATATACACTGAAATAATAACTAACCGGCGCTGATAAACCGGCCCCTCAAACAACGCCAACGACTGCCCCAACCTAACGTAGACGCTGACGACGACAGAGCCAACGTCGCCTTGCCGCAAAAATCAAACTGCGCAATAGAAATATCATAAACAAACACACACAGACATGTGTGTGCACACACCAACACACAGAGAGAAAGAGAGAGAGACACATATACATGGTCAACCGAAGCATATAAAATTGAGAAAATGAGCCAAAGCAAAAAGAGAAGAAAAACAACAGCTAAGAACGACGCGACGGGCGACACAAAATAATAAACAAGTCAAGAAGGGGAGCCGCAAAATGCCGGCAAAAAAAAATCAAAAACAAGTTGATGTGGTGTCTACATACACATATATATGTATACATATGTATGCGCATTCTACATATACATGCATATGTATATAGGTATATTTGTATGAATACATGTGTTTTTTGTATGTACAAAGCAAAGAACAATAATAAAAACAGCAAGACAAAATAATGGGCTATATATTCTTGACGGGGGAGCCGCCTCTGACTGACAAGATTACGTAAAGTAAATTGTTTTTGTTTTTGGTCTTCTCTTTTATTTTTTGTTCTTTTTGCGTTATTGGCTTGACGGCTGCTAAACGTAGTTGTTGATTATTTTGTCTTACAGGTGGGCCTGAACAGTGGGCCTTGCTTATTAGCACACACACACACAAATAAAATATATTGGCATGCCGATCATACTTATTTGCAGTATATACCAGCTTAAAAGGGGGCGTGGGAGGGTGTTACTACACTTACCGCGATGGCACATTGTTGATAATCTTGTCGGTTAGGAAGCCGGCACGATTGCAGCGTTCTACAAATCGATCGAGTATTATATACGCCAATGGCACGTCCAGCACGATATCCGCCATGTCATCATAGACGCGCATGAAGCCCTGCAATCAAAACCAATCAAACAAATGTAAACATTGACATAAGTGCATACATATGTAGCTATATCTATATTATATACATAAGCATGTTCATATCAGGTAGCAGGGAAAGTTTATTTTCCATTGTAATACTAGACACAGTCTAGTCTATTCTAGCTTATTTCTATATATGATCTGATGCTTTTCATTCAAACATTCACAGGAAATTGCCTGTGTGTAAATTGAGTAATCTGGCAGCACTAAATAAATTGCTTATGCATTAAGATGGCTGCGCCTTGCTGTTAAGCCGCTGTCCTTTTTGATGGATATTTGCTATATATTTGAAAATATCACTGTTTTTTTAATTTTAAAAATATTTCACCCCACTGTCAACCCAGTACATATATATTTTTAGTTAGCTACGTTTTTCTGTTATATCTATTTATACTATAGTATATATTTTTAATTTCATTATTTGGTATTTTTCCAAAGAGGTCACCGCTCAACGATGTACGTCTATTTTTTATTTTGCTGAATAGAATAGATTAGATTCTAAATTTAATTTTTGTTTTGATTTTTTTTTTGATTGCTCTAGTTGTATAAGATTGCCATAGTATTGGGTAGAGAAAGATATGGAACGTTTTACTAACCTGCTCCATGCCAGCTGGCAAAACCAGACACGTTAGATCGAGCGATTTGAGCAGCTCGCACATGGCCTCTTCGGTGGTCTGGCTCAAGGATTCGAGTGTCATAACAATGGCCTCATAGACGAGCTCATGATGATAGTGAGGCACTTCCAGGGCGCGCAGACAGCGTTGCGCCTCGGCCATATCTCGGGAGGATAGATACTCCTTGAGCAGCAGGGTCATCTGTTTCGTGATGGTCTTCACGGGTCGCAGGGGACCGCCCATGCCCCAAACGTTGTCCAGGTGGGCCCACACCTGCTTGTGGAGCAGCGCGTCGGCACGGCGCAGCGCCTGCTCGGCATGTTCGTTCACCTGCTGGTGCTCCTCAGGTCGACTGACAAACTTGGGCGGCATGCAATCATCGGCTATGGCCCTAGCCATAAAATTGCCAAGCATGACTGGCGCCTCGGGTGTGTCCAGTATGAGATCGGGCAAATTGGCTAGCAGCATATTGAAGCCCTTCTCGATGTCCTTGCCGGTGATGACGCGACCATAGAGATCTGAGATCAACACCGAAGTCATCTCCCGCTGCGAGTCCTTATGATCCATTGCAATCTCGACAAGGATACTGGTGATGTACTCGCGCAACGGACTCTGCAATATCTCGTCAAAACTGACCGCCACCTCGTGCGTATCCCCATGCTCATAGTATTCGAGAACAATCGGCTCGGCAAGCTTGAAGAATTCTTCGGGCGTGATTTCGGTAATGACCTCGCGCAGCTCCACATTTCGATCGTTGCACTCACTGTCATAGTTGGGATCATTCTCATCTTCATACACCTCGGCCAGCGCTTCAGAGCCGGGCAATCCCCAAACACCTTTGCCGCCTGCGCCGCCTTTTTTGGGTAGGCCGCGACCACGTGTCAGATTGCGGGATCTTCGACTATTCTTCCAACGACGATGCGGCACCACATAGCCCGTGCCGGCTGGCAACATGCCATTGGCCAGCGATGAGACCGTGGAATTGGCGGTGCTTGGAGCAGCACCGCCACCAGAAGCAGCGACGCCATTGGTTATCAATGTAGCAGATGTGCCGCTGCCGCTGCCGCTGCCGCTGCCGCTGCCACTACCGGTACCGCTGCCACTGCCGCTGTTCTGTCTTTGGATGAGGCGTTTGGCCTTTCGTTTGATGCGGCCGTCATGACCATCACCTACAGGCAGAGGCTTCTTTATGTGCCCGCAATGATTGTGGCCATTAGAGGAGCCACCGTTCAGCTCTACCGCTTCAATCTCGCCATTCAATTCGCGTTCCACCGAGCTTTCCTTTGAATCGGAGCCTTCATTGTTCCCGACATCGCCGTTTGCTTTCTTATTGAGATTCGACTCCAGCTCCATACTTTTTTTCAGATCGCACTTCTTAGCTCCCTTGTACTTTAATCCTTCTTCGACTTACACGGACAATCACTCTCTCTCTCTCTCTCGATCCCTCTTCGCTGCTGTTTCTTCTTGGAATGCCCAACAACAACAGTTAGAGTAAGAAACACAGTTTCTTCTCACCGTATCTCTTGTGGAATCGTTATATTTTTAATTTTTTATGTATATATACATATATATATATGTATATATATGTATATATATATATATATATATATATATATATATATATATATATATATATATATATATATATATGTATCGTCCTCTCTCCCGCTGTCTCTCTCCCTCTCGCTATCTTCGACTTTTTGTTAGTTGTACTGTGTGACCAGGTGCTACACTTTCCTTGTGCTCCTTGTTGTGTTTGCTTGCTCTTGATTTGATAGGATCCTGTAATAAAAAAGTAAAATAATATCAAGAGTGAAATATTAGTGGATGCCAACTAAGTTCTTTTCCTTTCTGGTTAGATATATGTATGAATTTACTGTAATTGTTTACTATGAGAGCTGGAACCATATAATCCACATTCAGCCATGTGTACATTATTCATAAAAAGCAGTTCCCTAAGTAGACAACACATATAAAATGTCTCCCAGTCCTGCGCCATATAGCCATAAATACTTACTAACCTACGTACATTTGTGTGATCATCAACACATAAAAAGATAGCCCCACACACACAAAGACAAATGTTTGTAAGTTAATTTGCTTCTTTTTTCATAAGTACAACAGACTGACTAGACTAGAACAAGATAGCAATAGCGATACGGTGGCCATCGAGACGCGCCGCTTAAAAACTATAAATAAACAATATTCGCATATACATATGTACATAGATATTTGTTTTTGTTTTGCTCCTTTTTGTTGTTACATTCGTTTGCAAGTGCCACTAGACTATCAAAAGAAATATGTTTATAACGCAACATATAATACGAGGCAAATACATACATACATATGTATGGATTTATGTTTATAAATGTATGTAAGTAAATCCATTTCTGTATGTAATGGTTGTATTTGTAATTATAAGTTCATGTGTAGGTGGGCATTGATATATTTTAATTCTTAAAAGCGCATCGTACAGACTGTTCATCATCTCGTACATACATATACATACATACAAGTATATGCATATGTAAATATATACATATGTACATGGATATCGATATGCGAGATACGCATATGAAACTCTCTCTAGCTGTCTGGACAATTTCAAGGTCACTAATACAGCATGCATGTCGCCGTTAACTTTGCAACCCTCACAATTGGCTAACATTATTGCCATCTCACTTGCTCTCTATTGGGTGAACTTTAAACGAAGTTGACATACACATTTATCGATATGCGCCGGTCTTGACTATGTACAGAGTATCGGATATGGGTACTAACACAGAAATGTAAATACATACATGTGTACATATACGAAGAGAACAGCACCGTTTCTTTTTATTGTGTTATTGCTTTTTGTAAGCTTGCAAATAGGCAGTATAAATATGTATATATATTAACATAAATGTTATATACATACATATATCTGTGTACATATGCATAAACACTCTGTTATTGCGTCGCATGTTCCTTCTCTTCCATTCGATGCTATATAACCACACACATACGCATGGCTTTGTATGCTGTAACCGGTTTTATGTTTGTTTTGCCCGGTTTAACCTTGAAAATTGTGCCCCTCTTACAAACTTTCTATGTTATTGCCGCATTGCGTTGTTGTTCTTGCTTCTGTTTCGCACTTGTTGTCCTCTCCACACCCAAAAATAAAGAACCACCACCATTGCAGTGCAGTAGGAATGCTCAATTCCAACTTTTGGCAATGTTTTTAAAATAAATAAATGCGTACATGTACATATACTTTTATATATAATATACATATTGTTGTTTTCGTGCGTGGTTGTAATTGTTTTCGAAATTCTCTGAGAGCATAAAACGACGCTTTGCCGAAATTGCGTCGCAAAAAATTGAAGACGACGGCTGCAGAAGCAAAACAGCAGCACAAGAGCACAGCATAAATAACGTATATATGCATGCATGCTGCGCGAACAGAGTAACGGCTATAAATATTAGTCTCACATTGATTGCATTTGTTTACCTTATGTTTTCTCATAATAATAATAGATATATATATATATTTATGTTTATTCATATTAATCTTAGGGTAAATAACAATTTTTATTTTAAAGAACTTATGTGGTGACCCCATAATATTACCCGTTTCGCATTATGTAACTTCTAGGTTTGTAGATGTATGTATTTATGATTTTACATTTGCATACAGTAACAGCATAAACAACTTACAAAAGGAAATTTGCAACAGTGGCAACGCCAACGAAACGCGCATGGAAATGGAATGAGCTGGAAGTTTGTCGAATACAAGCATAAGAAGAGGAAGACAAACAAGTTGGCGCGCATGTTTGTATTCTCGGGCCGCCCTCTCCACCCCATATGTGAAGCTGTTAAACTGTGTGTGTGAATGCCGGCCGAATTTATCACGTACGCCATATACAACATTCAAATCTCGAAACTCTTCAAATTCGAAATCTAAATTTAAATATATTGCATTGACTGGAAATTTAGTTACTATGTATACAGCACATTTACAGTTATATGTATACATATAACATGTATTTACTATATATATATATATATATATATATATATATATATATATATATATATATATATATATATATATATATATATATATATATATATATGTGTGTATAGCTAGAGAGTGCAAGTATTTGCTTTTATTATGAGTTCATTTTCGTTTTCGCTTTACGGTAATTGCCGGTAAAAGCCGGTTTTGGTTTATTTGTTTGCTTAAAATGATATAATAATAAATATATATATAATTATGTATAAAATCTTTATACATATAACTCCACATATCCACATAGGCCTTAATTCTTACTTACCTAAGCGTGTGTACTTTTTGATTGCCTTTTGTTCTCTCGTCCGTTTGCGGCCTCACAGTCGCGGCGACAACAACAATAACAACGTCGACGTTGGGCTTAATGCAGCGACGTCGACGGCGATGTTGGCGCGCTGCAATTGCTGGAGCCTGTTTTGTTTTTGTTTGTTTGGCAACTTGCTTTTGGCGTTGGAAATCGTCTGTATGTCGGTGACTTTTAATGTGTGAGTGCTTGTGTCTGTGCGTATATGTAGTTCTGTGTTTTCTCTGCGACGCGTGGGTTTGCTCGCAATAGAATGCACACAAAATGCAATTGGAAAATACTTTTTATGTTTATATTTGTTTATTTCTTTCAACCATTCACTTTTAATGTTAGTAACTTGCAAAAAATATTGATCACCGAAGCGACGGCGTAAATAGCAGAATATAGCAAAATGCCTCCGACACCCTCACAGCTAAGAACTTAAAACGTGCAATGCACTTATACACACATACGTGAGTATGTATGGATGGGCTCGATTACTACGCAGCAGAACGGGTTCCAATTAGATTTTCCTTAGCAATTCAATTATTGTTCTTTATTATCGTATTAAAAAATTTGTATATCAACTTTACTGAAGTTATAGCAAAATTCAGTTTTTTAAGTTAGAAGGGTGCTTGGGGTATAAGACTTTAAATATCCGTAGCGAAGCGAACACGACAACAATTCCACTGAGAATAACATCTGTTATACAGTGTGACTGAATGTTGATATCGAAGGTAAACAGATTATTCTTGTCAGCTTCAACAAAAATACTAAAAAATTAGTTATATATGTACGCGAGGGCTGGTCACATTGTTTTTAGTGATACCGGACTCCAAGTAATAAGTGCTCGAAAGTACACTTTATAAGGACGAACATAACTTCCATAAAACTACGAATTTAAAAACATACTAAAAGTCATTTGGTCAAATGTGTATTATATAATAAATAAATTAATTAAATTCTTTGTCACGATACTGTCGACGCTTATTATTATTCACGAATTACTCTTTTGTCTCTCACAATAGGCTCGATGTCGTAGGTAGGAACATTTTTAGTTTTACAGGTGTCAGGACTCTGTTAGCGGTTGTTTATTTGCAGGTTTGAAGTGGTCGTTAGTTTTAGTGTGCACTTGTGCTATCGATAGTGATTATTATCGAGCCACTGCCAGCTCTATTGTTTACAATTTCGATGCACGTGCGAGCGCTGAAGTCAGATTCTGTTTGATTTTCTTTATTTTGTGTATATAAATATAATTTACAAACATGCCGCCTATATCACAAGAAGGCAATTGTCTAATATATCGCGGCAGCAATTTTCTAAAGCAGCGTCTTGTGTTGTCCTGTCTTAGCGGCAAGCCAGTAAAAATTACACAAATTCGCGTTGATGATGAGCAAGCACCCGGTTTACGTGAATACGAGATCAGTTTGATACGCTTGCTAGACAAGCTGACGAATGGCACCAAAATTGAATTGAATCCAGCTGGCACCAGTGTCATGTTCAGTCCCGGTCTTCTGCATGGCGGTCCCCTGCAGCACGATTGCTGCGTGCAGCGTGGCATCGGCTACTTTTTGGATGCACTGATTGCACTAGGTCCATTCTGCAAGTTCCCGCTGCAGTGCACACTACGTGGCGTGACAAACAGCAAAGATTCACCGTCGGTAGATCATATCAAAGGGGCTGCCCTGTCATTGTTGAAGCGTTTCCTACTGGTTGATGAGGGTCTGGAGCTGCGCGTTGTGCGCCGTGGTGTTGCCCCACTTGGTGGCGGCGAGGTATACTTCAGCTGTCCCGTGCGCAAGAGTCTTCGCGCCATACAATTCCAGGAGCAGGGCATGGTCAAGCGTGTTCGTGGCACTGTCTACGCCTGTAAGGTGTCACCGGCGATGGCCAATCGTACCGTGGAGTCGGCCAAGGGATGCATGCTCAAGTTTCTACCCGATGTTTATATCTATACAGATCAAAATCGTGGAAAAATATCAGGCAACTCACCCGGCTTTGGCATCTGCTTGCTGGCCGAGACAACAGACGGTGTTTGCTTCGCTGCCGATTGCATCTCCAACACCAGGGAAGAGTCAGTAAGTACCTACAGTTTGCATTTCCACGTTCAATTTAATGCCATTTGATTTGATCTGCAGGATACGCCATCTATACCAGAAGACTTAGGACGAGATGTGGCCATGCGTCTGCTAGATGAAATCTATCGCGGTGGCTGCTGTGATGCTGCCTACCAATGGCTGGCTGCTCTCTACATGGCTCTCGGACAGAAGCACGTTTCCAAATTCTTAACAGGTAAATCAATCACAGTAACTTTAATACCTTGTACTCAATAACCAGTGTCCGCTCGTATTTCAGGCCCACTCTCTACATATACGGTGCACTTTTTACAGCATCTGCGTGACTTCTTCTCAGTTACATTTAAGCTGGAGAATCCCGATGCGGACGACGACGATGAGGATGATGTACGTGGTGCGCAAAAGGTGCTCCTGACCTGCGTGGGTATTGGCTACACAAACATAAGCAAACGCGTTCTGTAAATTGCTATTACAAATAATTTAGATACAAATAATAAATCAATACATTTATATAATATACAACTTGAAATGGTTCACAATTCCCAACCGCTATGTAGAGAAATTATTATTGTGCATGAACTAGCAATATTTCATCAATATTTGCATTTCCTGTTACTATATGCATATATGCTTAAATTGCTTATACTTTATTTTCATAAGTTACACAATTTAAGCTATATATATATAAATATGCAACAAAAAGTTGAAACATGATAAGTTTTTTGCTTAGCTCTGCGAAGCAGCCGAAGTTTGTCGAGCAGTCGAATACTTATATTATTATATTTATGTATACATATATAAACGCTAGCGCTTTTTATGAATAAAATATACTATATTGTGTAAGACAAGGGTGTATAATATTAATTTACAACATTTCAGCCAAATGTTAAAATTCAAGCGATTTCTTTTATCGGCAATTTCGACATTGGCAACGATAACAAGCCCGTTAGATATCGATTGACTAGTCAACCGATATATGGTCACCTCTTTTTCATTTGAATGAATGTCAAACGGCGCAACTATGTTGCAGGATGCGGCGCTGTAATTTGTAATCAGTGGCAGATCGTAATCAGTCGGGTTCAAAAACCTAAATATGGGTTTCCAAGGGAACTGCGATAAGAAATCGCTTCTTGATGTTGTTGTATGCTTGCACACTTAAACAGTTTTTCTAGTCTAGGTGAGAGGTTTGCGGCACACACGCTTGCCAAGATCAGCAAAAATGGAAAATCACAACGAAAAATGACAACGGTGGCAACTTCCTGCGTCGTAAGCGCTGTATAAGCGTCTACAGCTATAAAAAGCAAACGTTGATGGACAGCAATTATCAAACGCCGATCAACGTTTGGACACCTTTCATCTCTGTGTTAGCCCGAATCGCCGTACATTATGAGCCTGAGACTGTGCCTGCTGGCATGCCTGGTTGTGGTTGCTTGTGCCTCCAAGGACGAGCTGAAGCCCACCAAATGGCTGAGCGCCAATGAGCTGGAAAACTTGCCATCCTTGAACGATATATCCTTTGAGCGCTTGGAGAACATGCCACTGCAAAAGGGCGCCCAACTGCTGGAGAAGATCTGTAAGTGTAGATGAAGTGTACATGTTGTAAAACAGAGCTAATGCGTTGCTGACAACCATCTAGATCATATTGGCCAAATCGAAAACGAACTGACGCCCAACTTTGTGCCCAGCGCCAGCAACATTCCAGTGAGGATCATCAAGTCCAATGGCGATCGTTTGGATGCTAAACTGAACAACTATGTTGAGAAGGCCTTTGCTCAGCCCGGCTTCGGCGAGGATGAGGTCACCATTGTGTTGACCGGCCTGCCCCAGACCACGCCCACCATTAAGAAAAGCATGCGCAAGCTGGAACAGGCTTATCTGCAGCGCTACAATCTGCAGGAGCAGCAGAAAATCGCCCAAAATGGTCAGCATCAGAAGAACAACGAATATGAATCCACCTCCAGCGAAGAAACATCCGATGAGTGGAAGAATGCCAAAACCACAAGCGGCAATTTGATCGTAAGTCGATCAACAATATAATATAATTTAATAAATTCTTGTTCATAATCACATTCCATTCTATTTGCCAGATCATCGACGTGGGATCCACTTTGACCAACTTCAAGCGCTACGCCATGCTCGATGTGACCGCCACCGGTGCTATGGTTGCCCACACACTGATCGAACTGACCAACAAGGGTGTGCCACAGGAGATAATTCATTTGATCGGACAGGGTATTAGCGCTCATGTTGCTGGAGCTGCTGGTCAGGAGTTCACTGGCCATACTGGCCACAAGCTGCGTCGCATCACTGGTCTGGACCCCGCCAAGCTTCTGTCCAAGCGTCGCGAATACCTTGTTGGCTTGTCCCGTGGCGATGCCGATTTCATTGATGTCATCCACACCTCCAGCCTGGCCATGGGCACGCCCATGCGTTGCGGCGATGTTGACTTCTATCCCAATGGACCCAACCAGGGTGCACCCGGCTCAGAGAATGTCATCGAAGCTGTTATGCGCGCTACCCGCTACTTTGCCGAATCCGTTTGTCCCGGCAAGGAGCACAACTTCCCAGCTGTCGCAGCCAACTCGCTGAAGCAGTACAAGCAGAACGATGGCTTCGGCAAGCGCGCATACATGGGCATTGAAGTTGATTACGATCTGAAGGGCGATTACATTTTGGAGGTTAACGAGAAGAGCCCCTTCGGCAAGCATGCCCCCGCCCAGAAACAGATCTCATACCACGGCCAGCGCCACGAGATCTAAACCATCAGACAACAACAACAACAACAACATGCAACATGGAATACAAAAACAAAACAAATTTTAACCTATAAGAGTTCATAAATAAACGAGCATATTTTCTAAACTAGAATGAATGGGCATTTCATAGTTTACGCAATGAAAATCGCAGAGAAAGGCGTCCACTGTAAAAACCTCTCGATCTTTCTGCAGCTTTAGTGGAAGAACTAGACTTATTGAAGTGTACAGTAAATTATAAAAATACATGGAATCTTTAAACAGACCGAAGATTTCTGAATGGCTCTGACGTGCTCTCCGTTTTCTTTAAAGATATCAACAAACCGGATTTTATAGTTTCAGATTCAGATTCGGACACAACACATCAAATCTCTTTCGTCTCTCACAATTCTCTTTAATTTTAGGTTATTTGAAAATCGCATAGAAAGGCGCTGCCTGAGCGTAAGTTAAACATTTTATCTAAAATAGGAATTATACTTTTTATTTGTATCAGATTTAATATTAGTTAATTTAAAACTACTTATTTGAAGTGCAAAGAGCATTACATTATTTTCCGTAACTCTCAGATAATGAAGGCTCAGATCAAATGAAGTAATTATCATTTGATTGTTTTGTAAATAAGTTACGTTTAGTTTGGGTTTTGCTGTTGTTGTTGCCGCTCGACTTGTTGCCATCCATCAGCAAAGGCCAATCGAGATTGCCGTTGAGTTTGGTTGGATCAAAGTTGTCCCACTGTTTAATTGGTGACTTTTTGTCGAGCATGGAGAAGTCATTTTTGGCAGCGACTACATTGCTCTTGTCCATGTTATTGTTGTGCTTGATGGGCGCAACTATGCCGAACGATTGGATGTAGCCGCGTGGACGATTGCGTCCTTGTCGACGTTTTGCCTTCGAGTTCGGCGACATGGAGCCCATAAAGTTTTGAGCAGCTGCGCTAGCGGCATCTGCCAGCTGCTGCTCCGGCTCCGGTTGGTTTCGATTGTTGTGGGCAGCAGCGATGGCATTTTCGTTGTGGCCATAGCTAGCGGCAGCTGCCAAGTGGTGCAGTGGGTACAGTGGGCACGAGTCCTGATAGCGCGACATGCCCTGACCGAATACGTCGGATGACTTCGATGGCTGCCAAGTGTTCACATTGGCATTTCGATTGTATTTCTTCTTCTTAGAGAAACGTGGCGGAATGGCACCCTCTGGCCCATAGTTTGGATTATAGAAGCGTATGCCATAGATCGATGGCAAGATCTGAGGAATATGGATGTGCGAAATAATCAAGTCAATTATTAATTAAACACTTACACCAGCCATCGGATTGTAGGTATCTTCTTCGGGGTCCTCCTCCTCAGACGGATTATTGGGCATGAAAGAGGCTTCAGATTCTCCGGCAGCACGAAATTTATCCATTGGAGGATCGACCAATTCGGCATTATAAAGTGCCCCGTTCACAAAGATATGCTTTCTATTGGCTTGCTTTGAGGGCATCGAGCAACTGCCCGAGGGTATCGAATTCAAATTCGAATTTAAATTCGCCTGCTGATCCGATTGATTTACTTGCCCACAGGCCGGAGGCATAAAGTTAAGTCCCGACGACCCAGAACAAAACGGTTGCTGCTGCACCGACGGCATATAAGCCATGTTTGGCGCATTGGCCAAATAGCCATAATATGGTCCCTGACCGTACGGGTAAAATGGATGTTGACCCTGGTTAACGCCAAACGGCTGCTGCGAAGGCACAAACCCCATGCAATGTTGCGGCGGATGCTGCTGTTGTTGCTGCTGCTGCGGCTGTGGCTGGGACTGCGGCTGCGATTGCCCAAAGTTATACGGGACATTATTTTGACTGGCGCTCTGCGCATGATTGTAAAGCTGTTTGATGCCGTCGCCCCCCTGCTGACTAAAATGGTTATAATATGGCTGTTGCTGGCCACCGCCGCCATTCTGCTGCTGCAAATAGCTCAGATTTGGCTGAACATAATTAATAGGCGGTGGCTGCTGACAGCAATGGGCCGCTGGCATATTTTGCATATTCGCCATGTTTTTCTGGGCATGCGCATATAGCCATTGGAGGGCATGCAATTGCAAGAGATTGACTCCTTTTGCTTGTTGTGGAGTGGAAGATAATGGGATTTGGTACTGTGCATGCATGACAATCAATAAATTTGACTTGAATCTTCTTGAAATTTCAGCTACATATTTGAGGTTAAGTTTTAGAGGTTCGTTTCAAGATATTTATTTGCTAATTAAAAGGAAATGCAATAATTGGTGTACATACTTGTCTTTATAGTGTGCTGCACAAATATATTGACAAGTTTTTTAGAGGAATATCTTAACTTGAAAACTTCAAACACAAATTGCAAACTTTTTCTCTCTTGACTTCTCGTACTTACTCGGTCTGCAGTTGCTTTCAAACAGAAGGATTTTTCCTCGCGGGACTATTCTCATCACTATATTTATCGATTTCAACGAATCGTTACTCAACAACAATAAATATGTAGCATTCCCATCACCAAATTATTAAGCGCGCTGAGCTGGAATGCTGAATTAAATCGGCAAGATTTTCACTGTAAGCTGATTTTTAAAAATTTATTTGTATTATTATTCTATTAATTATTTGACCTTTATGACACATGAACATTATAAATATGTATTCCTAGCAAGAATCATATATGGTTTGAAACAGTTTTTTTTTTGTTCATGGCATCAGCTATTGTATTTATATTTATATTTATTTATTTTATAGTGCATTTGCTTGTTTGTAGCTATGTTTATTTGCCTGCACTGAGTTTGGTGGAAGTCAATGATTTTTTATATGAACCAGTTTAATGCAATAATATGTATATCAAAACTAAAAAACTAACTTTGCCAATAAATGCATCATTTATTATTTACAAAATCGTACACACTTTTCGGCGCTTACAAAATGTAAAGGCCGCCATGAAAGCGAAAAAAGTTTAGCAAATTCAAACGGCAATTCAAAGCAAATCTATTGAAACTGAAATTTCTCGATATATCGAAATAATCATCGAGTTTGGAATATCGATATTTTCTATATGAATAACTTAAACGAAAAAAGAAAGACAAAAAAAAAAACAAAAAGAAAAACAAATTGCTGCACAAGAGAGCTGTTTTTAAATTTGCAAACGAGAGCGAAAGGGTTTTATAAAATTGCATAGACGCAATTGAGGAAACACAGATTACGCTGTGCCTGCATCACGGATAGCAATATCGCTTCGGAAATAAAATCAATATATAGAACATACAGCTGAAGCGCAATGGGTGCGGAGCACTCGCAACAGCGCGCCGAGGCTGATGGCCATGAGATCTTCGAGAGACGTGATGCAGCTACGGTCAGTAGCATGGGTCAATCGTCTAACAGTGGCTCCGCAGTTCGAATGAGTGATGGCAGCGCCATGGCACTGACAGCGGCTGCAGCGGCAGCAGCAAACAAACGTAGAGGTGCTGCCGGACATCAGAGGCAGCAGCAACAGCAGCAGCAACAGCAAGCGTTACCGCATGGAGCTAGCAATGGACCAGCTAGCATTGTGATTGCCAGCAAGCAAATCATTTCGGACACTGCCTCGCCTACAAGTTCCGAGCTGAGTCGACCGCCTTCGCCGCCGTTGAGCGTGTGCTCGGATCTGCCGTATGTTTCTTATACAGATAGGCCCATCGGGGACTCACCCAAAATACGCAACAGGCCTGCCCACATGCTGCAACAGAGCAGCGCCAGTCGGGCCGCTGCACGCAAATCACATCCTGGTAGCATTACCACAACCATTAAGCCAAAGCGACCGCAGTCGACGGCTTCCAGTCACAACATCGTGATTGTGAAGCCGGGCACACGGGACATTAATGACGATATTGATCCAGATTTGCTGCGTCTGCGTAACATACCTCAGTTCTTACCCGTGCTGCGAGAGTCGATCAGCTCGGCGACATATACGCGAGATACAGAAATTCTGGAGCGTTTGAATTCGCAGCATCTGCTTAATATATGCAGTCGAATGCAAACGCACTTGAATTTGTGCGCCAGCCATGTGGCCAACGAACAGAATCATCTTGTGGAGCGCACAAAGGTGGTTAGCAATTCAATAACAACGCTCTTCGCTAGCTTCGTCGACATGCAGAAGACGTACGCCTCGTATGCGGAACATTTTGCCAAAATACGCAGCGTCTCGCAGCAGTTGAGCCGCTGCAATTCGCTGTTGCATGAGAATATTGCCAGCCTGGAAGCAATTAATAATTTCCTGGACGACGATGATCGCCTGGAGCCGTTCGTCTGGCGTACAGACGACAACAAGCTGCGCGGCGAGGCCGAAGGCGCTGCCGGTGGCAACAGCAGTCGCTTGTGGCGTCTCTAAATGCTTCAACTGCAACTGCCCCCATTCCAGTTTCGCTTCCAAAGATACTTCGTTATTTGTTATTAGTCTAACTCGTAACTCTATTCTATGTATTTATTGTGTATATTAACTTTAAAGTTTAAACATTTACGGTATAAATAATTGTGCATGTTAAATTTGTTTATAAGGGTTATTCAGATTTGTTGTTGTTTAACACTCAGCGCGATCTCGTACGTTAGCTGGAGACATAGTCTGTTCCATTTCGAACTGAAATCAAACTGTGTAAATAATAAACAAAAGATATAACAATGTCTTACATATGTAATCAAGGAAAAGCAATTGATGTGTTTTATCCACATATCCTTTAGAAATGTATTATGAACAAATTCAATTAATCAATTGCCAGACGATCTCAGAAATTAAATACAATTTTCCTTACTAAATGCTAAATAACAGTGAATAAATGATTTTCATTTATTCATTTAATAGAATCTAAATTTAACAATATTCAATTGAAATTGCTTCGTTTCTGAGAATATAAGCTCTTATAGTAACTGATAATCTAACAATTTCTCCTACAACAAACATTTCAGAAGACTTAAAAGTAACTTTGCTTAACTCTAGTAAGAACTCTGTAAAAGAAGGAAAATAAAACAAATTGCAATTAACACAACTGCCTTAAGAGTAATATTTGAACAACATCCGATTACAGTTACGCCCAAATAGCTAAGTAGTTCTAATTACTTAAGTAATTAAGCTAACGAAAACAGAGGCGTTGACAACAATTAGACATAAATTTATTGCACATGCAAACAATTAGCTAAAGATAATAAGCCTACATAGAACTAGATATAACACACATACATATAATACAGACGAGCATGTTTTGCTTTAACGCTACAGTTACAATTTTGTGGCTTTCGAGTTGAGGCCATACTTATAATATTCCTAAATACACATTTACATACAACATATACATTTCTTTCAATATTTGGTGATTAATGGCGTATTAATGGCTTTCCGGAAACCGTTTCACATGAAAGTTCGAAATGCTTAAGTCTAGTCTAAATGCCATTAATGGTTCAACACGGAAAGAGATAGAGACAGACAGAGACAGAGACAGAGGAGAAAGAGAGAGTGGATTTTGAATTTGACCTCATTATTGACGTCTCTTTCGTGCATTTGCCCGCAGTCGCGCTCGTCCATTTCGGCGATGCCGTCTCCATAGGGCCACGAACAGCGTCTTGTATATGATCCAGCAGCACAGGAGTTGATTGAAAAGAAGGCAGAGCAGTACAAAACCCTTGGAGCAGTACAAGGCCAATGTGTAGACATAGCTACTCTGCCAGAAGAGAAAAGCATTATTGGCTAACTGTTAACGCTGCGCATAGTTGCTCCAATAAACAAGGAGCATGAGCAGTACGTTAGCGCAACTTATATTCTAGAAGAGCTTTTGCATATGGATGCGATCCTGAACGTTGCGTTCATGCTGCTGCTCCTCAATCGCCTTCAGCTCGCGGGCGACCGTTGTCTTTAGTGTTGCATCCAGCCCCAAGGCATCAATGAAATCACGGCGAGCTTGCGCCGGATTCCAAGCGCCAGCATGGGCCTTGGCACGGCGGAATAGTGCCTTCACATTACGGGGATCAAGTGTGAGTACCTCGTTGCAGTGCTCAATCACCGCATAATAATCGCCTGCAATCAATCGACATTGGGCGTAGTTGAGCAGCAACGGAGTCTTGATGCTAGCTAACTGCTGCCATTCGGCATCGTGGGGCTTCTCCTTTAGCATCAGTTGCTCGATCATGCCGACGGCATCGCGATAGCAAATCTCCGCCTCGGCATAATTATGCGCCTTATAATGGCGATTACCGCGCTCCCGTAACGTGTGCGTAGCAAGCATTTTCTCGTCATCGGACATTTGCCAGCGCTCCTTCTCATATTGTTCAGGCAGCTCAATCGATATCAATTCGATGGTGAACTCCAAGTCGACGGGCTTCTGCAGCAGCTCATCCAAATCCTCATAGCCCATGCCCTCGTTCTGTAATGTCATGCCACAGCAATGTCGACGCTCGTCCGGTTTTTTGCCAATATCTCGAAGAGTTTTCGAAATGAACGGATATTGAGCACAGAGCTGTACGTGAAATTAGTATTAGTATTATAATAAATAAAATGTATAACATATATTTGCATGCTTACCGATTTGTGTACCGTAAATTTGGCCACCTCATTTAAGGACATTTTCTGCACAATCACCTCCCAAACTTCCAATTTGAATTTTTTGCCTAGAACTAATTCCATTGGCTTATTAATTTTCTTGCTATCGTCTATGATTCGTACATCGTTAGCCCGACGAGTTTGGAAGTGAAATTTAACCTGTAAGTGTACATTGTCAGTTATGGCCTTGGCCCAATTATGACCTGGATTTTGTTGGCCACACACAACTGTTGCCTCTTTTTCACTTTGCTTACCCTGGTGCCTGGCTTCAGTTCGATGTATTTGTTGCCCGGATTTAGAATTTCCTTGCGGATGGGCTTTGCAATACCATGTTCTTTTATTTCTGATTCCATTTTAAATTATATAGATATATATATTTGTAGCTTTTTAGGGCTGGCTAATTAATTTTGTTATTGGCTGCAGTTCTTATTCCTGTTCGACAAAGGACAACAAACTCCACTAAAATCGAAATGCAAATATTCTAGAACCCTCTAGGGATGAGCGGCAAGCCAACACTAGGGTTTCGTTATATATCGATTGTTTTTTACTATCGATAGGCGAATATTGTGATTCTTTTAAAATTGTAAATAACTAAATTGTTTTACAAATAACAAATAACTAAAACTTAACGATTGATTTTGATAGACCCTCAATCAGTTAAGGCAATTCTTAGAATCAGTAACATAGCTTTTAACTGCGTTCGGCTTATGCACTATTTCAAATAGTTTTGTTTGCTAGCACAAGTTCCATTTGTGACTGCGGACCGTAAAATAATAATAATGATAATAAGCATAAAAGTTATAATAAAAATAAAAATAAATAATAATTATAATAATAATAATTTATTAATTAAAACAGAATAAAAATTTTACATGCCATTGAAAATAAAAAAGAAATACGCGCCACAGGGTGAACAACAAAATTTGTTATCGAGTGCAGCAAACAGAGTTGCCGCCCTCCATCCGCATAGAGATGCCAATGTGCGGGCTAGCTCCTAGATGGCAATTCGGTCATCTGCCCGCTAACTTTAATTTTTATTCGGTCGCGTATTGCCTAACCTGACGGTTGTGTGCGCATGGTCGGCTCTAGTTGTGACGCCCGTTTGAGCAAAGCCTGAATATTGAATATTTGAATATTTGAAAAATTTAATATTGAATAAGTTGAAAGCAACTTAATTGTTAGTATATTGTTTTTATGTGTTTTAATTTTTGTTTGAGTTTGTGCTGGTGTATCTATGTGTGTGTTGGTGTTTTGTGTTTGTGCAAAATTGATAATGAAGAACAAACAACATTGCATCTTTATTACAATCTCAACGATCGCATCACAATCAATTACATTTGTTGCTGTAGCAGCTGTTCTCAAGTTTTTTATTGTTGTTGTTTTTTTTTTCAATTAAGACTGTTAAAGCTGTCCGCGACTTTTAGTTGAGGATCGCGACTCGTACGATTTGCACCCGCTACATATTAAATGCCTTTGCAAATATACAAATACTTGCACTCGTCTATGCAGAATGTATTGATATTCAAATAACGCTTATTGTCGTTGTTGTTGCAAATGTATTAATTGCTATTCTAAACAAAAATCTATTTGTGCATGGGATACGTTGCGTATGCGCGATATTTGTTATATATACAAATATTTAACTGCGAACTGGGCTAGAAATTCAAATCGATTTGTCATCCAAGAAGCCAAAAGCAAATTAAACATATACAATATTTTACGTATATGTTTGTACATTAAATAAATAAAATCTGCTAAGATCTTGACGCTGGTTTCTTAGACCACCTGAGCATCTTTTCCGCTAGCGTGGTAGCGTGGGCGTAGGCTATGCTCTATATATAATTCCGTATATATCGTGCATAATTTATACAAAAATGACACATCAACACTGTTTTGTTTCATTTCTGAAAGCTAAAGAAGCAAATCTATTGCTAACAAAAATCAAATTCAAATTTTATCTGCCTACTCAACATACAGATGGAGGATAGAAGAGAGAGAGAGAGAGAGACAATATCAACAATATAGATTTATGTTTATATATATATGTCTATTTACACAAATATGATCATATGCAGCCCACACAACAGTCAAAAAAAACTCTAACAACAACAAAAGAGTCTAACCAATCTGCCAGTTAATAAAACTTTTTGTCGATTGCTCTCATCTCTCTCTTACTCTTTCTCTTCCTCTCTATTGCTCTCGGTCTTGGTCTCTCCCTGCCGTTCGATCCGCGTGTGTTTGTGAGTAGGCGGGGCAGTTAGCGGGGCAAGACACTAGCAACTAGCGTGAGCGAACAACATTCACAGGTACAAAAAAACAACAACAGCAGCAAAGCTCTCAGCTACAGATGCAGATACAGATACATTGAAACACATCTAATAGATACACTTGTGGCATGTGTTAACTTAGGTTTTTTTGTTGTCTTTTTTTGTGTTCTTTGAGGCCAATACGAACATTTTTGCCTGCTCGCAGTCGTTGTTCAAATTCAGCTTCGCACGTATTAGCGAAGCAAACACGAGAGAAACGTATTAATAAATTAGTTATAATAATTGAATTAATATTTAAACGGTAGCACGCGGCGCGTCTAAAAATTCCACCAAGAGTTCAATTATATATATTTTTTTAATTTTACAAAATTTAATAATATTTTATCTTAAAAAAAAAACATTTTTTTTACCTAATTTTTTTTTACTATAAAATGTGCCAAAAATATAAACGTGACGCATGAGCTAAAGCAAAAAGTTAATGAATTTAAAAACAACGTTTTTTTTTTCGACTAGCAAATACCCTGTGTGTCCAGTTGTTGAATGACCTAATACTAATTCGTAATCACATATACACAAAAAAAAACACATCTATTATACAATATTACTACCTTGAAGTGAATTGAGAACTCGCTTAGGAATCTTTGGCCTAAGACTCAGCAGTTGATGAAGCATATTTTGAAATACCCTAAAATCATTATAAATAGCTTAATTTACAAAATTATGCTAAAGGCCTAACAACGAGTGAAGCTGACAACGAGTTGAAAATGTTCAATTTTGCTCTCGAGCTTTAACCTTCACACACACACACACACTCAAACAGTTAATTATGAGCAAACATTTTTTTTTGTTTTCGTAATATAACAATACAATATAGATGTATTTTACTTTGCTTATATATATACTATATATTGGCGTCTTGGAACTTCATCTAATTTCCAACAATTCGGATGCACGCCGTAGTAGTCTTGCCTGCAATTGTTTAGCTAGAGATGCTTATTTTTATAACAGTCCTAGGTATACATATGTACTAGGTATATACATATGTACACACACGCACACTCACACACATATATATTCATAAATGTATATATTCAGGCACACATGTGTAGTATCTCTCTACTGGGTATACGCAACGTATCTTTGGGATCGATATTAGCATCTGGCCCTCATTTCTCGTGTGCGCTCTCGCGATCTCCCTCTGCTTCTGCCACTCTCTGACGCTCTCTGTGCGCTGGCTCCTCAGTCACATTTATTTTTAGACAAGCGTTCGTGTCTCTATTGACTTTGCACCGTTGCGATGTTTTCGCTTTTCGGCATTTAACGGTACAGCCCAAAGCGAGAGAAAGGAGAAGGCGCGAAAAGTTGCAATAATATGCTCCGCTCTTTGATTCAACAGTTAAACCAAACATCGCCCATGCAAATGTGGCCCAGCATATTAATGTGACCAATATATACGTACAATAAGACATACATGTGTGTATGTGTCTCTGTATGCTTGTATGTGTGTTCAATCGAATGTCTTTGGCCATATGGCGCGTTTACCGCAATTTAATTTTTCATTTTTTTTACTACAACAAATGCGATTTGTAACTTTTTGTTGCTGCTATTTATGTTTGTGAGTGTGCGTGTGCGACGCTCAATGAATGACAACCATCAATGAGCTTCGAATTGTCACTACGATGCTCACACATACACACACACGTGCAGCTAGTGCATGATGCCCACTTGTCAAATGTTGCCTACAGCGAAAACGCCAACGCCAACGCCAACGCCAACGCCAACGCCAACACCAGCAACGACGTCGACGCCGACGCCGACGCCGCCTTCATTGCATTTGCAATTTGGCGCAGCTTGGTTTGCAACTTGACTAATTTCGGCTTGTCATTTGAATTTGGCAACCTGTTCTACTGCGTGGCCGCGTGTGTTACGTCAGCAGCAGCAGCAGCGACTGTTGCTGCTGTGACAAGCGAAGAGCGCTCCAATGAAGGAATCAAAAACTAAACACATAAGTAAACAAGAATTTGATGATTACGAACGATCGCATAAAATAACAAAAAAACAGCCAAAAAATCTGCCCAAAAAACTTGATTTTTACAATTGTGTGTGTGCGTGTGTGTGTGTTTGTGCCTCTCTCGGTTCTTGCCACTGACGGTTGCTTTTTAATTTCGCCGAGCTGAGCGTTTTCTCAAGACATTTCGGCCAAGGTTGCAGACAAGCGACAACTTGAGATCATAAAATAAATAAAGCTTGTCTATGTATGTATGTGTGTGTGCTGGCATGTGGGTGCGTGTGTGTGTTTGTGTTTGCATTGACCATATGTGAGATTTGCAACGTTTAATTTTCAATTTATTGGAATAGTTTAAACAACAATCAGATTCAACAATAACAATATCAACGAAAATGCAATAGAAGTGCAAAAAACAACAACAAAAACGCAACTTAAAGCTGAGGACAGCGAAGAGAAAACCAACAATAACAACAACAGCAACAAAAAAAAAACAACGAGGACGAGGACGAAAGAAAAAAACGCCACATCATGATCAGCAGATGGAGTAGCCTTCAGGCATTGCTGCTGCTCCTCATGTTGATGATGCACTGCAGCCGACACCCAACAACAAACGCCTACAACATCGATCTGCCCAGCTACGTGCGACATCGACATGTCAGCAACTCGATGTTCGGCTTCAGCATTGCGCTGCACAAGACACGCAACAACTATGCCAACAATTCGTAAGTACAACAATTGACATTCTCTCAGTACAGTGAATACTCGATAAAGAAAACTTGAGCTTGAAACTTTTGCAAGTTGGCAAATTTGAGAATGTTTCGAGTCTGCTAAGGAGGTCAGAAGGCTGACAACTGTCTGTTAAATTATTGACAAACAAATTATGAAGAATGTAAAAATTTGCTTCTTTTTTCCTTTTCTTTTTTGGGGTGCTAACTTTGTTGAAAACAACTGAAAATTCAAAGAAAACTTCAGTTGCATAGTTCGGGTTTTTAGTCGAACATCGAAGCGCGTACAAAAGCAATTATATAAGTTGAGCGAACGACCTTCTGACACCCGATACAGAGCCAAAAAGAGTGACAGTGACATATGCATACCTAGGCAACATACCTAAGCGCACATACGCACACACACACACACACACACACACACACACATACACACACAGAATTTCAATGGCACACTGCGCATGCGCACCGGAAACAATCAGGCATGCCAAACAGAAA